TTGTCTTTTGCCGAAGCTCAGACTCTGGCACAGGATCGGGAACGTTGGAAGCTCTCTCTGACGCGTCTGCATCCGCGATCGAAAGGAGAAGCGGTCGTGGAAACTGAATCCAATGGAATTGATTCACATGGTTATTTTTTTACTGGATCTTCCCACAATTCGCACAACCTCTATAAGCGCTCGCTATGTCAGTTCAGACAGACGGCTGACTTCAGAATTGCAATCATGGTTTCCAAACGACTACGTTACTACTTCCACTTTGAAAATTCACCTTCTGTACTGCCGCACCTTTTCAGTCTTTCGGTATCTATATGCTATTCATTCCTTGGCAGTCGGTATTCATGGGCGCGAATTTGTAGCCAAAAGCTATCGATAGGTGACACTAGACCCTTTGCAGAGTCGCTTACCAGCATGATATCATCAGCACATATTAAATTTTGTTAGCTTAGTTCCTTAACCTACCCAGTCGACTAATCATCGAGATATATTTTATTCGGGTTTGTAATAAACTACCTGTAAAATACCAAACTCAAGGTTGGCTTCAAGATAGATGGACAGCTTCTTCATGCAATATCATTCGTGAGAACAACGAAACGGATAAAAATGATCAACAGACTAGTAATAAGTAAATTGGACAACAGCTGGGAGTCGGCATTTCGTTCGTAAGACATGATTTTTAAAAAAAGACATTATAATTTATTTCATTATTATCTGCTAAAAGCCTAAAATACAAGCAATGCTTTGTCTCATAAATCAAGACCTGCTATCAACATAAATGAGGCTACCTTTGAATAAGAAAGCTGATTTGTTCTCATATGTTAAGCAAAGGTTCAAAGCTAAATAGATGCAACATTATTTTTATGAACTACTAATTACGAAGAACATAACACCGTGTTCTCGATGGGCTAATCGAGAGATGGCTAAGAAATCAATGACTCACGACACTACCACACAATGTTCTAACTATGCTCCAGCTTACAATCTAATGGCAGCGTTGTTTTGTGGAGACACCTCAAATAAAACATACGCTTTGATCTATCTTAATGTTATACTATCTTTCAGAGAGGCAAATCCCTTATTCGTTTGATTCGTCTATTCGTTCTTTCACTATCGAATCCTTTTGGGACTTTTGGGTAACGGGAACTCCAGCTTCAGGGAGTTTTCCGGGTTCTGATTTTTGGACCTATAAAGTAAGTGTAAGGAGTACCGACATTCTCATGGTTACAAGCTTTACTTTTATTTTAATGTGGCATCCGCAATGGATGGATGCTAATGAGCCATCATCTTATTTAACCGAACAAAATCGCGTTCGGATACCAAT